CTCCCCCATTTCTGGATCAGTAGCTATCTGAAATGAGGCTGGACAAAGCACTGTTCTTAATATGTAGCATATTGTTGGCATATACATATCAGTAGCTTTGTAATTTGTGGTGGGTGATAGGATGCTTCCCTCTTAGTTCAAAAACTATAATACATAAACTTATTTCAGTAAAACTCACAGCAAGGTGTTTTTTTAAATAAATGCATGGATTTAAACTTGTTTAGATCAAAGATTTTTTTTTTAGAAAATACTTATATATCTAGAAAATTAGAACAGCCTCCTATGCTAAGACTTTATTCCTCATGTTACTACTTCAGTGGAATTTTGACTGCCTTTTTAATGCTTAACTCATTTTCAGCTTGATATTTAACATGAACAGTGTGCAAGTGTTTAGTTAGTGTGTTACTGAACTAGGAAAGGTAAGCGTGTGAACACTGAGCAGAGCTTTCTGAAAGAGCCTCCCGTAATAATGAGGTCCTGTTCATTAATATGATGTTTGGGTTGACTCCACTCTGTTGCTATTTTCAGGGCACTCTAGAATGATATTAAACTGGTTGTTTATTGCAGGGGTGCATATCCTACAGCTGCCTTTTCCCCAGTCTAGGTTGTCCTTGCAGAGCCTTCCAGCTCAGGCCAGCCTTTCCCATCCTCTACATCAGGGGTGCACACCTTTTTGGGGCTGTGGGGTGATGAGTGGCACAGGGCTGGTCCATAGGCTTGATCAGGACTCTGTGCTGCCAGATCCAGGCCCCACACCCCCAGTGGAGGGCCCTGTGCTGCCTTACAGGGTTCAGTGCCACCTCCGCTTAGCCTTGTGCTGCAGGATTGGGCCCTGCACTGCTTCAGCTGGCCCCTCTGTGCCTGAATCAGGCCCTGCGCCAGCCCCGTGTGCTGATTTTTGTGTGTGTGCTATGTGGTTCCTGGGGCTCCCCATGGGACTGGAAATTTGACAGCAGGGAGTGGCAGTTACTACCATTGCTCCCCTGCTGACAGATTTTTGGACCCATGGGGACATCTGCGGGCAAGCTGGCATGGCTGTGCAGGCCAGGGATTGGACCCCCCTGCTCTAGGTCAGTGATTCACAACCCCCAGGTGTCTTGAGATCCTTTCAGGAGAACTGTGGGGTGCCACGCAGTGCTAGTGCTGTTGGGTGTGCAAACATGATTCACAAGATAAACTCATATCCAGAGTGTCACAAACATGCTGACCTGTTGTGGCCTTTCTGACTTCCTTGCAACAGAAAAATCGCTCTATTTTTCTGCACTCAGAACTGAGTGAGAAGTAAAAGTTAGCATTTCCCAAGGGGGTCCTTGTCTGAAAAGGTTGAGAACCACTGCTGTAGATCCTTCAACACAGGAACCAACCTGCTTCCTGCCACCCCCTCCCCTTGTATCTCCTGACTCTTCTCAGTCTTTATGGGAATCTGGTGGTCATCTGGCCTGATGGTGCTTGGGCTTGGTAGAGAGCACTTACTGTCCCCCAGGCTGTCCTCCCAGCCAGGGTTAGCCCGCTCCAGGCCCTTACAAGGCAGATCGTCGTCTTATACCTCTCTAAGTCAGTTCCAGAAAAGGGAGTGGCAGACGCTTCCTGTTCTAGTGATTGCTTTTCAGTGTATCATGCCAGCTTTTGGCTTTACCAGAAGCTCTAGCGACTCCTTAATAAAGTGTTTAATCTTGTACAGATAGGATTGTTTAATCTTTTTTTGCATTTTTTTTTCTCAGGGTGCATTTTTGGTTCTCACCCTGGGTTCCACCAAATTTCACAAGAGTTATGGAGCGGTACCTTGAGTCTAAAGTGATTGAGGACCACTGCTTTGTTGTATGTTGAACATAGTGGGTCCATAGCTTCCATCTAAGTGTGAGGGTTTGCCTTGGTCAGACTAGATTAAAGGTGGTCAGTTCTTTTATTTGTAAGCATTTGTAGACTACAGCCTTGCAGTTTGTGAGACTGAGTATAACAGTGTTTTAAATAAGAGTCCTATTGTAGTCTATAAATTGAGATTATGCAAAAGAATCCATGTGCACCGCATGGCACCAAAAATGCATATAAAACTCTTGCCTTACAGGAGACTTGATATTTGTGTTTGATATTTCCATCTGTGTTCAGTCAGGTTTTTGCCACTGCAAGTGCTTGAGCAGGGCACTGTTCTGCATTACTAAGCCTTTGGTGCTTTTGCAAAATTAAACCAATAGCTGATTAGAAAAATACTAAGGCTGTGTGAAATTTCTCCCTGTGTTTCATTTCGAAGCTGTTTCGATGCATTTCAAGCTTGAAACAGCGAAATCGAAGCAAAACAAAAGCCTTCAAAACAGCTTTAAAATAAAACTAGCAATGACAGTTTCAAAACGTTTTGAAGCCAGGCTTACTTGGCTTCAGCGCAGGTCCCAAGCGGCAGCAGCAGCCTCATGTCATCCTGCAGGCAGATCGGGGCCTGCCTGTACCCCCGGGAGAGCTGTGGGACTGTACTAAACTCCTCCTGGAGGTGCAGCGGCCCCAGTCTGCCTGATGGATGACAGGAGGCTGGTGCTGCTGGCTGGGTGCAGTCCATGCTGGGAAGATAGGTGCTGCTGCTGGCCCCAAACGGCAGCACCAGCCTCCTGTCATCCGGCAAACAGATCGGGGGCTTGCCTGCAGTCCTGGGAGGGCTGTGGGGGGTGTGCCAGACTCCTTCTGGGGGGGCGGGCCCCAATCTGCCTGCTGGATGACAGGAGGCTGGTGCTGCTGGTTGGGGCCAGTGGCAGCACCCGTCTTCCCAATGCTGGGTGGGCGAAATGTTGAAACAGCAAAACGGTTTTGACGAAACTAAACAGAACAGTAGTGCTTTCAAAATGAAACAAAACTTGAAATGAAACACTGTTCCATTGAAATGGAAGTTGAAGCAGAACAATGCTGCTTCGCACAGCCCTAAAAAATACTGAGCTATCAATTCACCTGAACTTGACTGCGAAGTGCATGTGTTGCAATCCTTTGTTTCTATTGCCTTGCTGATTCGGAGTATTTCTCAGGCATTGGTTTAATTTGGCATGGCTATGCTGTATACTTCTACATTCAGAAAACCACCCTGTAGAATGAAATTAACTTGTTATGCCACCTAAAATCAGCTAGTAGAACTTTCTTTAAAATTATCCCAAATCATTTGAATTTTTGGGGCAGTCTAAAATAAAGTGTCTGGTGTCCTTGTATGTGGAGCCTGTACTGATCTTTGTGGAAAAAGCATGTATGTTGGAAATTCAGTTGGTAAACTTTCCCTAGCAGATAAGCCATTGGATGACCTGGGGGATTGCCAGAAGGTGTGTGCAGACACTGTTGGGGTGTGGCAGTTGGCCTTGTTTTGGCCCACCAGCATGGCATCACTACTTCATGCCCTGCCTTCCAAGTGCCTGCATAGCTGTAAATGTATGCAGGGGCATTTATTTTTTAACAAAATGTGAAAATCCTAGGGAGTGAGTTGAAGGCTGGCTGTTCACTGAAGATGTCAATCTGTCTTGCATATTTTTCCTAATGACACGAATCCTTGAGCAGCCTTACCTAGGACTGCCGTCAGTTAAGGCTGTTAGTGGGTCAGTGGGATGCTGGCTGTACAAGCCTTTTTGCTGACTGATTGCTGCTTGTCCAATATTGTTAATCCCAGGGTTTGATAGCAGCTGACTGAGCAGGTGAGAAGTGAAAAATCAATTAGCCTTGCTCACAGGGTTGTTACTGTATTTTGCTAGAGCAAACAGGAGCAATAAATAGTCTGTTAGCAACTGTGTCACATGGATAGATAGGTAGTGGTCCAGTACTTGAATTGGAAGGGTGAGCTCCTGAATCTGCAGGCTGGGTTCATTGGCAGCTCACTTGGCCATCTAGTTGAGCCTGAGGCAGGGGTTGGACAGGTGCACTGCAGGCAGTTGTGGGACTTGGCTAATGTGTTGTTGAACCTAGAATTATCTGTATAATATACTCTTGCTTCCTGGTTAAGCTCCTGTTCCAGGTGTGTGTTTGGGGGAGGGGGCTGGCTACACTTTTCTGTCCTAAATTTTTTTTTCTTCCTTTTGTGCATGGCAGGACTTCGAAGCTAAGGGGGACCTTGGATGCTGTACTTCTTTTTTCAAGGCAGGAGGAAACCTTTTCACACCTGGGAGAGCTAACTTTCTCTTCTCTTTTCAGTAAAAAGTCCCAGAAGTGGGATGAAATGAACATTCTAGCTACGTACCACCCAGCAGGCAAGGATTATGGCTTAATGAAAATAGATGAGCCAAGCACTCCTTATCACAGGTAAATTTTCTTAAACAACCATTCTTTTAAATAGATATGGAAATACTTGAGTTATAATGATAGGCTATGCCTAAGTGGTTTAGCAGCAAACCAAAGCTCATGGGTGGTGGTACTGGAGCTGCCTGCAGGCTTGTAGTCTGTTTGAATTCTCAGGATTTAGATGATACACCAATAAGACAGGAAATGCTGCAAAGTATATTACACATCTAAAACTCTGAAGTCAGGGATAACACTGAATATTTGGTAGCACTCTTGTAGATGTAAATTGTTATTCAGAAGCTTTGACTGCTTTAAGAGTATGGGTCACTTGTAAAATTCAGTTGGGACTTGAACTAACTAGCTTCTAGTGAGCAAAGTTAATACTTAGGTAAAAGGAAATAAAACCATTCTTTGCATTGGAATAATTAAAGTAGGGGAGGGTGGGGAGGGAAGAAAACAGTAATTGAGTATTAAACAAGTAGTTTAATTAGAGCAGGCCTAAAGCTTTACTCCTTTTAACAAACAATATTTTTGGGTAGCAAATGCTAAAGATATTCTTTTGCTTTCTTTTTTTTTCTAGTATGGTGGGAGAGGATGATGAAGATGCAGTGAGTGATTCGGAATCAAATGAACCCTTAACAGCAGATTTGCTGGCCGAGAAGTAAGCATTAGTGGCTGTAGAATGAGCTAAGTTTGGAGATATTCCCCTCCACCGCCTCGTGGCAGGAGGAATAATGTGTTCCTGGATAAGGTGGTGGTTATGTTAGGAGTCATGCTCAGATGTGTTGGGATAGGTTTCTAGGCAAAGCTGCTGGTAGAGTAAGTAGGTACTCTACATCAGTGTGGCAAAATATGGCCTAAGCCCAGAACCAAGGCTGTTTCATCCTAGATCAGGGGTACTCTGTGGCACTCAAAGACATTTTGCTTAGCACATGCGCCTCGGGGTGGACAGCGGAGAAGGGGCTGGGGCTGCGCTGCCACTGTAAGGATTGGGCCCCTTGTGGCTCCCCCACCATCTTTCCTTGGCAGACCAACATGTTACAAGTTGAGGTTGCGGATGTTTTTGGCACTCTGCCCAAAAACGCTGCTGACCCCTGTCCTAGACACTGAGGTGTGTGTATGTACAGAAGTTAAGTACTTTAATTGTTGGGAGTTGCTACTCCTGCTTTGGTGTGTTTTAATACAGTTTTTTGCATAGGTTGGCAGCTGCAGCTGAAGGTAAGGGCCCGAAGATTCTAGCTAAGCAAGAAGAAAGCAGTGAGGAGGAAGAAGAGGAGGAGGAAGACTTAACACCTGAAGAACGAGGTTGGTATTAGGTGTAACTATATGGTCAACAGACTTGCACTGAGGATGTTGGAGGGGGTGGATGTACCACCTAGCAGAAAAATTTGGAAACGGTGAGCCTTAGCTATTACAGAAGTGACTTGAACTCCTAATGGACTTGGATGCTTCTGGGGTTAGATTAAGGTGTAGCTATTTATTAAATTGGTTGGGAGCAGGTGCATATAGCTAAAGTGTGTTTATCTTGGAGGAGCCCTTGCAGGATGAGGTTTGGAGAGTTTTCATTTCTGAAAAGCCAGCAGACGGAACCAAAGGCTGTTTTCTCCTGAGGAGTGTGGGAAGGTTTTTTCTCAACCTGGGTGCCTGTCAGATGGCTGTAATTTTTAATGACTGGCTTTCTTACTGTCACTGTGACATTTTTAGTGGAAAGAAAAAACAGTCATGCTTTCCAGGCAATGTGAAGTCATGATTCAGCTGGCAGAGGGAGCTAAAAGTCAATTTGTAGTGATTTCTAATTTAATTCTTTTGTCAAAGTAGATCCTGCTTTGCATTCATTTGGACTACACTGTTTTACCAAATAGTCAAGCAATGAAACTTCTAATGTTTCAAACCATGCATATGTTAGCTATTTGCAGTCATTGCTGCTGCTTATCTTTCCTGACCCTGTTCCTCAGCTTGAGAAGATCATCAAGGAGCACATTTGTGATGGGCCGGCATCAGAAATGATGCTCAGGGGCAATCAGCATGGATTTATTAGGGGGAGATCATGTCAGACCAACCTGATTGCCTTCTACGATCAGGTCACAAAGGCCATGGATGCAGGTGTCGC